CTTCTGCTCTTCTCAGTTCTTTCCACCCCAAGCATGCACACTGACGCAGATTCTACCACAGCCCGACTGTGGCTGTGGCTACATCTGGTGTTGACAAAGCTGTGGAGAGAGAAAGCCTATACTCTGGAAATGCAAATTCCCACAATCCTTCTGGAACACAAAAATCCAGAACTAGTCCACTTTCTAAGGTGAAAATTAGACCTCTATACAAAGGTTATATTTGTGTATACATTATAAGAAAAGAATTTAAAGAACTGAAACAATTTCTAGTCACTAGGAATGTTCTAATTTCTAATTGACTAATACATCCCTAATTTCTAACTGACTAGTGCTTTGCTCTTAGAAAGTAATTATGACACAATTTTATAGAAAGGAAGAAAAGACCACATATTGAAATATGTCACCACTGGAGTACTATTCATACATTATTCATTATACAATTGTGTATTTTCCCACAATGAAATACACAATGAGATCAATCACACCTGTGAACTACAGGGGCCCCCATTATCTATGCCAGATATATTCCAAGGCATTCTATAGGTTCCTGAAACCATGAGTAATGCCAAACCCTGTACATATTATGTTTGCCCTATACATACTTACCTATAATAAAATTTATTTTATAACTAAGGCATACTGAAAAATTAACAATAACGAAATAGAACAGCTATAACAATTTATCACAATAAAAGTAACATAAGTGTGGTCTCTCAAAATATTTTACTGTACTGTGCTAGTTTGGAGTACATAAATAACCAGGGGTAACTGAAACCTTGGAAAGAAAAGCCAAGAACAAGGGCTAATGTATTACATCACCATTAGTAAGTAAAATAAAGGTTATAATACATAAAAATATGGAAAGTCAAGAAAATAAGGTATATGTTTTATTATATCATGAAATTACATTTGAGAAAAAGCAAATATGTGAATATAGCAGACATTTTAAAAAGACAAAATTAAAAACTTATGAGAACAGATTACAAATTATTTTTCTGATTTGTCTGATGTTTTCAGTAGTGTTAGTAATTATTTTAATTTGAAGGGAAATGTGTTATTCTTTTAACATATTCCCACTGTTCTGAACAACAATGGTATATGCCTAACTGTCCTATTAGGTGACTTTTATTAATTTTATTAATAAAAAGACCAATAAAAGTGGTTACATCTGTTTGTACCACCAGTACTCCAAGCCACCTAGCCATGAGACATAAGAATTATAACACTGGACTGGCCAAACAGCTCAGTAGATTAAAGCACCTGCAAGCAGGTACAGGGGCCGGGTTCAATTCCCCAGCCTGCCATGCCGGCCTGCCCCCGGCGTGCGCTGAGACAGCAATTGAGACTGGGTTCTTTTCCTTCACAGAAAGTTTGCCAAGCTCCACAGTAAACAACACAATATCTATCACTTTCAAATATAGAGGAAATTTGTATTCCAACATAATATTCATCCAAATGATCATATGAAGTGCGAAGAAATATATTTTTAGAAAGGAGGGTCTCAAAACATCTTATCTTCCTTGAGTCCTCTGTAAGAAAGCTACTGATGGATGTGCTCCACCAAAAGAATAAGCCAAGAAAGAAACTGCCTTAGAAAAGAGCACTAAACCTTTCTTTCCATAGTACAAAGTCATGAGATGTCTAAATCTGGAAAAATCAAGAAAAGAGTCCGATGAATATATTATTTACAAACACGCATACCAAAAGACACAGCTAAAGAAGCTGGGAACATTCTCACCTCCAACAAGCAAGACTCAGAAAGCAGGAAACATAGTTAAGAAAGGGCTCTGTCGCTTGTACATACATGCATTCACTTCGATAATTATTGAAGACATACAAACAGCATTACCTCCAAGTATTAAAATTTATTATAGAATTTCTACAATATTAAAAAAATTGTGTTATGGGGCAAGGAGATAGTTCATTTTTCACCATCTTCCACCTTGACTGCCAGCTGCCGCCATGAAGGTGAAGCTGTGTAGCTCCAGTGAGTACAAGATCTACCCGGGACACGGGAGGCGCTACACCAGGACCGATGGGAAGGTCTTCCAGGTTCTGAAAGCAAAATGCGAGTCTGCATTCCTTTCTAAGAGAAATCCTCGGCAAATAAACTGGACTGTCCTCTACAGAGGAAAGCACAAAAAGGGACAGTCGGAAGAAATTCAAAAGAAAAGAACACGACGGGCAGTCAAATTTCAGAGGGCCATCACTGGCGCATCTCTTGCTGACATAATGGCCAAGAGGAATCAGAAAGCAGAAGTTAGAAAGGCCCAAAGAGAACAGGCTATCAGGGCTGCCAAGGAAGCAAAAACGGCTAAGCCAGAATCTAAAAAAGACTGTGATGGCTGCTGCTGAGGCTCCCACGAAGGCAACACCTAAGCAGAAGACTGTGAAGTCTGGGAAAGCTTCTGCTCCATGAGGTGGTGGAAAATGCTAAACTGGCAGATCAGATTTGCAAATAAAGATCTGTAATTCTAATTTGTGCTGGATTTTTCCAATGGAAATGTTGGGTCTATGTGGCAATAGGTGAACTATCAAATTAAGAATTTAAGACAGACAAATTAAGTTGATAGGAATGGAGTTGTGGCTCATTACAGTGTGCATGCTAAGTACGCATGAGGACAAGGACACTTCCTCTGCTCAATGCCAAAACTAAAAATTCTGTTCCTCGGCATAATGCCTCCTAAGATCAATCTTTTGGTTGGCAAGATATTAAAGGATGTAATGAACCTATAGTTGTATGCTGGCTTTATTGTGTTTATATAGGATTCTTGTTAGAAGGCTACAAAATGTTTGCACAGTTTAGTTCAACTTGATTAAAAAATAAGCTCTTCTGTCAAAAAAAAAAAAAAAAAAAAGGAGATAGTTCAGTAGAATAAGCGCTTCCCTGGCAAGCGCAAGGGCCTGAGTTCAATACCCAGTTCCGCAAAAAAAAAAAAAAAAAAAAGAAAGAAAACTGTATTAAAATGTATAGCTAGTAGAAAACAATCCTGAAACAAACAAACAGTATTTATAAGACTTTAACTGTAATAAGATAAGCATAACAAACAAAAGGGAAACAGATTTAGAGAGAGAAAAATGCTTGATGAGAAGACAACCATTTTTCTAGTTTCCCAGTGATTTAGCTGACTCAGAACACTGAGCTGATTCAGCTGGAAAACTTGCTAGAATTTATCACAGCCTACCACACGACCCCACCTCCCACCTGCAGCAGTGCTTAAGGGGGACGACATCAAGATCTTTGCAAATCAGGCAGCCCTCTCCTTGAAAGCTCAAACATTCTGTTGGCAGTCTATTTTTCATCAATCTGATTTCTTTCTGCCCTGTGTGCTGCTAAAAATTTTTGATTCTGCCCTTAGTCTGTGTTTCAGCTGCCAACATTAACTGGAAGAGGAAAATTCAAGCTTTGACCTCAGATCACTAACCAATGGTCCAAATGGATTACATGATTGTGTATACAAACAGTAAAATGGGTAAAATATATAATTTATACCTAATCATTGAATTAGGAAGAATTAGTTTTAGTTTTCAACATGAAAGCAATATAGAGAATGTAGCAATATAAGGATTTATAAAGCCAGGCACAGTGGCACAAGCCTTATGACAGCACTAGGGAAGTGAAGGCAAGAGGATCACAAGTTCAAGCCCCATCTTGTCAACTGAGCAAAACCCTATCTCAAATAAAAAAGGGATGCATGTAGTATCATTCCCTGGGTTAATCAACAAAAAAAGATAACAATTTATAAAGAAAAAGTCTTTTAACTGCATAAAGCTAAATGTCCCAAAACACTGCAGATGAAGTTCAAAGGCAAATAAAACACTGGGTGATATATCTATAATACTGTAAATATAAGGGTTCATTTACTAAGTATGTATTTTTTAAAACTCAGCAGTTTGTTAAAGCATAAACACTTCAATTTTTCCATGCAAAAAATAAATAGTAAGTGCCAAAATAATGCAAAAACAACTTTTTTTTTTTTTTTTTTTTTTTTTTTCAGAACAGGGGATTGAACTCAGGACCCTGAGCTTGCCAGGCAGGCACTTATTCTACTGAGCTATCTCCCCAGCCCCACAACAAAACAATTTAAATGTTTTATTTCAAAAAAATCTGATAAATACAAACAGAAATATTTATTCACTAAATGTGGAAAAATTAAGAAATGAAGCCATTAAAAATCACATTTTCAAACAACATTTAAAGACTTAAAGAAATTATAATAGGATGTCAAAGAAAATGCAGAATATTTCACTAGTGTATACAATTTTGTAGGAAAAATATTAAGTAAAAAAGTACATGCAATTTTTGTTTTCTTTCTCCTGATTTTCAAATCTTGCACAATAAGCATTTTTTACAGTTATAAACAAAAAGATAAGGCTCCATTCTTTTTTTTTTTTTTTTTTAATGTATTTAGTACAGAGTCTCCAGGGTCTCCTTACACAGATCAGACTCATAGTGATCTTTCCTGTTTTTCAGCCTCCCAAGTACTGGGATTACAGGTGTGTGCCACCACACCCAGTCTCACTAAGCGCTGGGGCTGGCAAAGGCTCCATTCTAAGTGAGTGACAAAACTAGTAATTTGATACATTTGTGCGAGTCAGCAGCTGGCAGTTGTTGAGTGATTCCAGGCCATCCGGCACTGGTGTAGGTGCTTTACACACTTGCCAAGATGTTTCACTCTGACGTGATCCCTCAGGAATTTGTGGTCCCCGTCCTCCAGAAGACAGACTGAGTCACAGGAAGAGAACGAGGCCCTAGGGCTGGCAGGTGGAGACGCTGACTCACACACAAGCGCTCAGCTCCTCCTCGAACACACTCTCGCACAAGAGTTTTTCATTGCAAGGAAAACTATTCACGACACAGCAAGTAACAAAAGCAAACTGAAATCCATTTCATTAGACATTCGTCAGGAACGGGAAGACAGATCCCCACGCAGGTGGACTCATGAAGTTGCTTTCAGGTGCTTCTATAGCTTTTCAGGCTCTTCAAGACTCCAGAGCTCTGTTTCCGTTATACTGAAGTCGTCCCCTCAGCTCTGAGCCCACCGCAGCAGGGTTTAAGAGAGGCTGAGGGCAGCAGTGTGCTCCCGGTGACAGGGCTCCTTCCAGTCACCACCATGCTCACCACAAGAGCTCACTAAGCGGGCCTGGCCACCCCAGCTCTGTGTTTCATTTTATTTATTTTTTTTATTTTAAAGAAAACAAAAATTCCAAAAGAGTACGACAGGTGGGTAACAATGGTTAATACATTGTGTATTGTTATCTTTAAATTACTCAGCGTACAAGATAGCAGAATTTCATTGTCCAAACAATATTAGCACAAACCTCTCTTTTTAATGAACTAAGAGAAATTAGTAATATAATTATCATATATACATATTGTTTTTGCTTTTTCCCTTTCCCTTTTTTTCTCCATTCCCCCATATTTTACCAATGAGAATATCCTTCCTGCCATTGTCACTGTCTCCTTACTAAAAACCACCCCAGAGATCAATCCCAAGGACTGACATCCTTTCCAAAAACCACCAAACAATCCTATCACAAGCAAGTTTACTCATGCCTACCAGGGGTGTCTGAGACACCTGACAGCTGGGTCTCTAAATCCACGAGCCTCACCCCAAACCCCAAACCCCAAACCTCCCTGCTCCTTCAATCCAGACCTCCCACAGCACTTCCTGCCTCCCACCAGGAAGCCTCTGTCTGCCGCTGGCCCCTCTGCCCCCCGCGCACCCCTCCCGGCAGCGGCATCTGCCGTGCCCATCACCAGGCCCCTGCCAGCACAGGGTAAATGGGACTCACGTTTGTGGTTGAGCCATTCCAGAGAGATACAGCAGGGGCAGCAGGACTAATGAGATAGCCACTATCATAATGTCCACTTGCCACCTCTCTTTCTGAAAGCCACCACCGGAAGTCAAGAGTTAATCTTACTCATCTGGCTGTATCCCTGCCTTTCTCTCTTCACTCCTTCTTGGCTCATGGTGACTTTCACACTAGACCAGAAAAGCCACTAACATCCAGGCTGCCTACTTCCCTTCCAGTGACCTTCCTCTCCACCCAGCTTGGCCGGATAGCTACACCTCCAAAATTTTTACTGGACGCATCCACCACTGGCCACTCCAGGTCACTACTGCTAATGCCAGCACTCCACTCAGCTTCTCAGCCACGTCAGCAGCTACCACTCCCTCATGTTCGTATGCTCCATCTTCCCAGTCGCACCCTCACGCTCCTCCCCAGAAATTCTGTGGGATCCGTCACTTTGAGGATTCCCTTGCTTATATCCTCAAATCTTTTGCCCCTTTCCTTCTGTTGTGCTTTTGAAGGAAAAAAAACCCTGGTGAAACGAGGCCCTCTACTTACTCAGCACCTACCTCCAAGTGGTTTAACAGCACTAGAGAACATTCTGCCTTGCACACCGGTCTCGCCTCTGATGCCCCCAAATCTCCGAGGCCCCCGCAAAGCCCGCCCACCGCCGGTATTGCCCTGAAGGAGACACATCCCCAGTCTCCCAGCTGAGCACCTTGTGCCTCCTCTCTGCTCACTTCCAAACATCTCCCTCTCCTATCACCACCAAATGACCTCACTTCTGGTTTTTAGCAAAAACAGAAGGGCCAGGGAGATGGCTCAGTGGAATAAGCGCTGCCCTGGCAAGCGCAAGGGCCTGAGTTCAATCCGATTCTGAAAAAAAACAAACAAACAAACAAAAAAAAAAAAAAAAACAGAAAGAATCCCAGGAGAAGTAGCTCATCTTCCCCAGTGTCTCCATCCTTAGGGAGGGTGAGCTCCTCCTGATCGCAGCCAGGCTGACCTCTGCAGAGCTCTCCCTCCCAGGGCTAGCTTCTCTCGTAAGCACCTACCCTTTGCTCTCCACACTGTCCTCACCGAACTACATGGGCATGTTGTACCTCCTCCTGAGGAAGTCCTCCCAAACAGCCAGGCACACACACACACAACAGAAGCAACCAAGACAAATTTTCCTTTAAAAACTAGAAAAGAGGCTGGAGCTGGAGCTCAGTGGTCAAGAGTATGCTTACCACATGCCAGGCCAGTACCACCCAAATAAATAAATAAATAAATAAATAAATAAAGCCCTGACTTTTAGTTAATTATTAAGTTAAATCATATTGACCTTACCATATTTGGGGGCACACTTGAAGTACTGGACTTTTCCAACACTTCCATTGTTCTTTCCTTCTGGTTCATCTAATTCAATGCCAGCCCACTGGCCACTGGCAAATTCAGTTGTTCCACAAAATCGCAGTGTCCCAACCTAAAGAAAACACAAACCCACATTATTTTTAATATTATTAATAATTACAAATGTCTTGCTCTTGGTAATTTTGTCATGGAAGTTTTAAAAAATTATCTCAAAGTAGACTTCAGAGTAAAGAACAGTACCAGAGGTAAAATGGAACATTAAGTAAACGACAAGAGTCAATTCACCAGGAAGACAGAAGAATCCTAAATGTTCAGGCACTCAACCAGGGAGCTTCAGAGAACATGATGCCCTTTACCAACACAACAAAAGGCAAAACTGACAAATTCAGACCTGGAGGCATTAATACACCTTACTCATTTCATGAATAGCTTAAGTAGGCTAGTAAGGATATAGAAAAAAATTAACCAGCTATCAGTTTTGACTTCACTGATAATCAGAATATTCGATACCAAACAGTAAAATAACAGAAATTATAAAAGCATGTTCCCAGACCATAGTTAAATTAGAAATCACAGAAACATGTATGGAAAATATCAACATTTAGCCATTAAACCACTCACTTCTAAATAACAGGTGAGAAAGAAAGAAGTCACAAAGGGAATTAGAAAATATTGCGAACTAGGTGAGAATAATGCCACAGTTTGTGGGACACACCAAAAGCAGTGATTATCTTATCAGAGGTCTCAAACTAGTGAGCTAACTTTCCTTCCTCCTTAGAACTAAGTGAGAACTAAAGCCTGCAAAAGGAAAAAATATTGCAGATAAACAGCTGGAAACTGAGAAAACCAATGAAACCAAAAGCAAGTTCTGTGGAAGGACAAAATTTAATTTTTAAATTTCCTCTAGTTGAAAACCAAATTTGAAAACAGAAGAAAAAGATAAATCACCAACATTATGAATAAAAGAGGGATGTTATTGCAGAAGCCTGACCACTTAAAAAGATAGCAAGAAAATACTGAGAACAACTCTGACCAGAGCTTGACAAATGAAAAACGTTCCAATTCACTGAAAGAGAGAAACCAATGCATCTGAAATGGCTCACTGGCTAAAAACCTGAAAGAGAAAATGATGAACAGGCCCAGATGGCCCCGCTGGTGAATCCCACCACACGACTTCAGGACAAAGTAAGACCAACTCCATACACGCTCTCCTAAAATACAAAAGTGCAAGGATCAATTCCCAACTCATTTTATGAAGCCAATGTTACTCTGATACAAAAACCAAAGACATTATAAAACTACAAACCAAGTATCCCTAATGAACACAAACATAAGAATCTTTATGTTTCAGAACATAACATCAAGCGCAGTGACAGGATTGGGAGTCCAAGGCCAGCTTGGGGGGGCCTGGCCATAGCTCAGTTCTTTAAGTGGCTGCTTCCACAAAGCTGTGAGCCTCAGGTAGCTGTAGTTCAACTCCCACAACACTCCAGCCAGA